CTTTCACCAAGTGCCCTGTTCACCCCTGGTTTTATTCTCGTGTCCCTCTCAGCCAGGGCAGGACTGAGCCTTCCCACAGGAATTCTCTGGGTGAGCCGTTCCCAAACGTGTCAGTAGGTGGCAAAAAGCTACAACCCTTGTGCTAAGCAAGAAATACGTATTTTTTCCTACCTCTTCCAAGAGCAGGAGGGATCTGTGGGCAGCCCTGTGGCATCAGTGGAGGTGGATTGTGCTCCCACTGGGACAGAGATCCCTGCACCAGCACTGCTGCCAGGGAGAACCATCAGATCCCAGGAACAGAGCAGGTAAAGAGACTCAAACAGGAGCTGCCTCCTTCCTCTTAATTCATCAGAGGACCCTTGTGCCATGGCTTGACCTTTCTCAGGAATTATTTAAAGGAGGCTGGAAGCTGTGGGGGTGTAGGAAAACAGCAGGTTTGGCACAGCAGTCTGAGGATACCTGGTGAGGCAAACAAAAACCTGCCACGCTTGGTATTTTTTCAAGCTGGTGGTAAGACTTTAATCTTCGTGTACAGCCTGAAACGGAGCTGCTCAAGTGGCTGCTCCTGGGGGCTTTTCTCTGCAGCTTTGTGTAAGCAGATTGCAGCAATCCCAGTGGTCTGTCACACACCTTCCAGGGCAGATAAAGGGTTTAGTAAGTGAGGAAAACACCAATCACTTGTTTTTAGAATTTTTAGAAATTTAATAACAATAAAATGGTTATAAAAATAGTAATACAATTAGAGTAATAAAAATTTAGAGTTAGGACAATTACAAGACAATAAAAAGCAAAGAATTACGGATGTCCAGATGTTTTTGGGCAATAAGCTGCCAAAAACATGCCTTGTGAACAAAGGAATAACCCTTAAAAGCAATAGCCTGTTGCATATTCACATCTCTCATCCATGATGCATAAATTCCTTTCAAATTAATAACTTTTCTGGTTTTTGTCAACTTCTTCCCCTTAATCATGGTGGTTCCATAAAGACAGAGAGAAGGTGGAAGAATGTTTCTCTTTCCAATAAGGAGGCTGCAACTCTTTATGTGCCCTGTCACTGTTATCTCTGTGCAAAGAGTTTCTTGATTATCTCATCTTTTTCTTGAGCTAGTTAAAAAGTACCTTACATAGCATAGTTTCTATTTTAACATTGTGTTATAACCTAAAAATACATTTAACACACTACTTAAGAGAATTAATACAGCGCAATTTTCTAACATTACACATATAATATTCATTGTAATATTCGCCAAAAGCCAATCATAAAATATGCATTTTTCACAATAAGGGTGCTGGATGTATCCCAGTGGCTCAGCTGGTGGGGCTTTCCCTGCTTTTATGCCTGTGTGCATGGGGAAGGAGGATGTTATGTGATGCTGGAGACTCGCATTCCTGAGGAGGTCAAATGCTCTGAGCACCAGGTGGGACTGAGCCCAGGGAGGTTAGAAAATCCCATTAATCCAGACTAGCCAGTGAGATCCAGTTACAGTGTGGCTTTGTTCAGCTTTATTTACCTAACACCTCTCTTTGCTAAGCATAATTAATTTTTTTTTTTTTTTTGCTCAAGAACACTAACAGAGGTGTTACAGCAACCCCAGCTCCTTTTTTAAATACAGCAGCACAGTTCATTGACATTTCCTCTTATAAATTGTACATTTAATTGCTAATGATTTTGCCAGGCTGGTGCTGACTTCAGGCTGAGAATTACCATTTTGATTTAACATTTCAGCAAAACCAGTTCAGCTAATCCTGAGCTGGAAGAACTTGGCTTTCTCTGGCCATCTTTGACAAAAACATCCTATAACCATTTCCCTGGGGAGATCTAACTTCCTTTGGGGCAGGGATCTATCTGCCCTACATCTCCTGGGCTCTACCCTTTGCTGCTATCTATACCCACATCATCAACGGTGTTAAAATCTCCATTCTTTGCCATTTTGGTGAAAAATGATAGTCTGAATTCTCTGAAGGTGCTGAATCTGGGCTGAGCAGGTGCCCCAGCACTGCTCCTGTGTGGAGACTCCTCTAACCTGCAGGAAGGGTCCAGCCTTGCCTTGAAGCTTTGGGTGGTGTGGCATAGCCACAGAAACACATTTTTAGCCTGGGGATGCACAGGGGAGTGAGGGGCTCTGCTGAACACAGACTCTGGTTTCGGTGGGGTGTGATGGGGTTGAAGCTGTGTGTGCTCAGAGATGGTGAGTGGCAAGTTGTGTCCTCTCCAGAGCTGCCTGTACTGGGATTCCAGCATTTGGAGCTGGGAGCTGAGAGCCTCTCTCTAAAGTCTCCATTGCTGAGTTGCAGAACACACTGTGTGGGAGCTTGGTTGGGTTTTTTTAACCCATTTTCTGTAGTTTGTAGAAAAGTCTGTGTTTCACCTTTAGTAACGAAGGAAATGTTTTCATTTCCAGTGTCTGGAAGGATGTTAGAAAACACAAGCAGAAGATGAGATGCCACCTGCCTCTCTACAGGCTGTGATGAATTAATACAATTAAGAACAGCACAGTCAAACAGTTTTGAGCACCAGAAGTATTTCACAGACCCACACCATGGTTTGGGTTGAAAGGGACTCTAAAGCTCAGCCACTTTCAACCCCTGCCATGGCAGGGACACCTATCCCAGGTTGCTCCAAGCCCTGTCCAACCTGTCCTGGGACACTTCCAGGGATCCAGGGGCAGCCACAGCTCCTCTGGACACCCTGTGCCAGGGCCTGCCCACCCTCAGAGTCAGGAATTCTTCCCTAATCCCACCTCACCCTGCCCTCAGCCATTCCCCCTGCGATGGGAGCAGCTTTGCTGATTTTATCCTTTCTGTAAGAGCAGATTTTGCACGCTGTAGATTGATAAATTAATGCTCAGAGAGTCTCTCTGCACAGGCTCTGATTATGGATCGAGTGATCCACAGACACTTCTCCGTGGGCAGCACTCTTCCCCAAGGCTGGCAACACCATTATTGGAAAACTAATCAGCTCCATCTGAGATAAATTGCATTTCCACCAATTATAGCTTAATTGTTGACAGATGGGAACACAGAAGGACGATGTGTCACATCATTAAGAGAACAGGTGTATAGACAAGTGCCAGATTAATTGTTCCAGCCCATTAAATCATTGACCTTTTCAGCACACCCTCAACACTGAGTTCGAAGCTCTCACGGTATTTCCAGCTCACACAGACTGACTGTGTTTATCAGCAAAGTTCTCGGGGCATTTTTAAAACACACACACTCCAGACATGGGCTCATTAGCCATCAGCAGCTCTCTTTCTCATTAGAATGATTCCTCTTCTTCTTCCTTCACTGTGCTGGGGTTTGTTTTTGTGTTTTGCTGCTGAAATCCCACATGGTGTGTGGGCTTTCTCCAAAGTGCAGTTTTCCCCATGGAGCATGCAGACATTCTGTAATGGGCCATACGTTTAGGGATGTCAAAAGGAGGTGAAATTAGGACAGAGCAGCTCAGTCCTGGGCAGCTTGGCTGGAGGCTCCAGCTTGATTTAGGGCTTTGATTGTGATTTCCAGTTCCTGCTCTGCCTGGGATTTTCAATAAAGATAAATACTGCTGCAAGTGAGTTGGCCGTGGTGCCTCATTCCCTTAAATAAGTGTAAAAATGTGTCTCCTGCTCTTTTCCTGGCTGTGGAAATCAGGAATCTGAGGGTGTGGAAATCAGGAATCTGAGGGTGCAGTGCAGACACACCACGACAGCTTTGTGGGAGGGAGCACAGGTTTGGGACAGGGATGCAGGACAAGATTTATCTGTCCAGAGCTGCCCAAGCCCTGCTCGTCCTGGGTAACCCAGAACTGACTCTAAATCTTGTTGTTCTGGCTTGAAAAATGAAAGGATCATATTTCCAGCTGAAAGTGACTGTGATGGTGATGATATTTGCTACACCTGGAGTCCCTGCCCTGCAGCAAGGAGCTGATCTGAAGATGCTTTTCCCCCTGGTGGTTCTAGAAAGACCAAGTGGGAAGGGAGGGAGACAGGCAGGAGGCACAAGGAAGAGTTAATGCCCTTTGTCAGCTCTATAGGGGCAAAATTGGTGCTGGCAGCCAGAGCTGTCTGTTCCCCAGGGCCAGGGCTGGTGGTGAAATCTCTCCCTCCCTCGTGTTTCACCAGTCCCCTACTTATCCAGTTTGCCACATTAAAATAACTCTGATATTTAACTGAAATCTCCTTTTATATAAGTGCTGTGAATCCACAAAGTTGGTGGCCTTTATGGACCTCCAGGGATAGCCAGATACTATACAGGAGAACTGGGTGAAGTTCCCTCTCAGTTAACAAATTATTTTGTAAGAAAAATGAGATCATTTAATAAAAAAAAATCAGTTTAAGTGAGATGGAAACTGCAAGAGCATTTTTGATAGATCAGACACCTTCATATAATCATCTTTTCCAATATACTTGGAAATGTCAGATTGCAACAGGGCAGCTTGTTAAAATCCCTGGTAGGTGCTGCAGCCTTGATCAGCATCCCTGGGAGAGTGTCTGCAGGAAAAGATGGAGATTTCTCCATTTTCATCAGTCACTCCCCAGCACTGAATCCCTGAGCAGGGGAAAAAAGTGAACCAAAGCCTGATTTTTCAGATTAGATATAAATCTGGAGGTTAGTTCTGAAGCAAGTATATATATTTCTGTGTCCAGGACAGGGGAGGAGAGAAAATTAAAAAAAAAATAGAAAAAAGAAAAAAAAAAAGAAACAAACCAAAAAACAACAAACCCCCCCAAAAAAACCCAACCAACCAAAAACAAACAAACAAAAAAGCCACAAAAGTCAAAGATTAATTTTAGAAATGTGAAAAAATGTCATTTGAAGACTTTCTAAATCAATCATTTTACCTTGCATTTTGAACTGGGCTTTGTGGTTTAGAAAAGGTTAACTCCAATTTAAACAGGAAGATTTGGTAACTCAAAGGCAAATGAAACATTTCATTTCGGTTGAAATTTGATATTTGGGGTTAACCAAGAACTTTCCTCAACCCCCTCCTCCTCTCTCCACCCCCTTTTCACTGTTGCTCCATCCAAGGCTTTCTTCCCCAGATATTTTGATTCAGCCACACGACCCAGAGGGATTTTATTCACCCTACATCACTGAGCTCCTCATTTCCAGATGTCCTTTCCACTGGCCCATACTCACAGAAATTCCACGTACAGCCAGCAGTGCCTCCAACCTCAGCCCATCCATCTGGGGGATTCCAGCCCCTCCAGATCTGGGGTTTGTTCCTTTGGCACACCCCAACCATGCCACTAGAAATCCCTGTCATAGAAGTCATCAAAGAGGGAAACTCTCTCTGTCTTGGTCCTCACAAGCGTGGGTTTGTGGTGGATTTTCTCTTCCCTCTCCCACTCCTCTGACCCTGTGCTGGAGGAGTCCCAGAACAGATCCCTCGTCCGTGGCTCCCTGCAGAGCCACAGGTCAACCTTCCCCCTGTGGTCTGGAGAGAGTTCAGCCCTGCCAGGCTGCCTGGAGAGGCCTCCACCCCACGTCTTTCCTGGGGGAGAGAAAAAAAATAACATATCATGGTTTTGCAGAGCTGCTCATCACCTAGAGTTGAGCTGGGAATGGCTATGGACAGCTGGGGGCATGTAAGGAAAATCCTGAGAGCTGCCAGCCAGACCAGACCCCATGGCAGGGGCAGGGGGAGGTGTAGCACACTCAGGATTGTGTTTGGTGAAATTATAGTCTGGCAATATGGCTTTATCCCCAAGGGGAAGAGAGCTGAGGTGAAGAGCCACCAGGGAATAAGAAGCCAGGTTTGTTCCCCTTCCTCCTGGTGAAAGTTCACTTTCAGGTGAGCTTTTCACTGATTTAAGCACTTTCAGCCTTGGTGGAACATTCCCAGCCTGTGCCAAAGGTTGTCACATGCAGGCAAAGCAGGACAGGGCTCATGCCTTGCACAGGTCAGGATGAAGAGGTGGCTGAGATCCACTTCTGTAGGGACAGTGGAGAAAAAAAACCCCTAAACTTAAAAAGTGATCAGCTTCAGTGAGTGTCACATTTACCCCAGACAACTCTCTGAAGCATTCCAATGCTTTGTCCTACAAACACAGCCTTTCCCCCCCTGAACCTGCTTCTCATCACTGCAGGAGATGGAGCAGTGGAAACATCTTCCACAGGGAAACTCCTCTGATGACATTTAGGAGGGCTGGTGAGTTTTACAGCACCTTGGAAAGTTATTCCACCTACCAGGGACATCTTCAGGAAAACGCTGATTGTGCTCAGCAGGGATGGGGTCTGGGCTTCTGGTGCTGTCACCTCTGTGGGGAGCGTCAAGGACATCCTTGGGGCTGAATTCCTTGATGTTTTGCTTATTGATTTTCACCTCCCTGTGGAGATTCCTCTTCAGCTCCGCCTGGGTTTGCAAATGAGTTGTCAACACAAGCAGCAGAGGCGCGAACGTGCTTTAATAGCTCGATGTGGCACAGCATTGGGGGGGGTGGCCCTGGAAATAATTGCACAGTCGAGTAGTTTAACCCAAGCAAATGGAATCTGCCAGCCTGGGTACATGACAGAAGGTGACTGGGACAGGGATTTTTGGTTTCTCCGTGAGTCATGGCCAAATGAGGGCAAAGCGTTGGAAAAATCACAGTAATTGCTGACCACAGGGGATCCCTGGGGATGCTCCCCACCAGCCCTCTGCCCAAGACCCAGAGAAAGCTCCTTTCACCTTCCCAGCAGGAGGTCTGAAGCCCCCTGGTCCGTGGGAGAGACACCTCCACCCCCTCCCCAAATCCACCTTGGCATTACCTCTCGTCGCTTGCGGGTCAAGTCCAGCATCTGGAGCTTGTGCAAGTGCTGCCTCCTGCCAGGGAGGGGATTCAGGCTTTGCCCCCTTTTCTCCAGCACCTACGAGGTATTTAAGGATGCAAATAAACACATCTGCATTTTCTGAGAGAGAAAGGAAGAGCCACCAGCTCCCAAACCCCTCGGGTTTGAGTCGGGGAGGTAAAGGCAGCGAGCCTCCCCCAGCGTGGCCACCTTGCAGGAATTCAGCCCAGATTTCCACTGTGCTTGCAGTTTATGCCACAGCTCAGGGGCAGGAGGGGAAAAAAACTTCATTAAAACAATGTATTCGTGCTTCTCCCCCCCGAGGTGTTTCTGCATTGAGTCAGCTCTCCAAGGTAATCTCATGATGCGAAGGGAAGGATGGCTTTTGCATTTTTGGGGCTGCAGGGGGTGTTTGTGGCACACAGTGTTTGCAGCCTTTAAAATCAAACTTTACAGAATTATTAGGGTTGAAAAAGGTATCTAAGATCATGGAGCCCAGCACTGCCAAGGCCACCACTGCCCCATGTCCCCAAGTGCCACGTCCACGTGGCTTTGAAATCCCTCCAGGGATGGTGGCTCCATCACTGCCCTGGGTAGCCTGTTCTCATGCCTAAAATCTCATTTTTCCCTAAAATCCAATCTAAACCTCTCGTGGCACAAGTTGAGGCCACTTCCTCTTGTCCCTTGTCCCCTGGGAGCAGAGCCTGAGCCCCACCTGGCTCCAAATTCCTGTCAGGGAGAGCAAGAAGGTCTCTCCCTTCTCCCCACTGACTGCAAATGATGGGTGCTCAAATAAGCCATTTAAAAACGTGCCCCTCATACTCTCAGCCTCTAAAATATTAAATATCCTGGCTCAGCAGGTCCATCTCATCCAGGCAACTGTCATGCTGGATATTAGGAAGCTTTCCCCACATTTTGGATCCTCTCAACCACACGCCAGCACATCAGCTCAGTGTTCCTGGGCTCAGCCAGAGACAGGAGCACAGCCAGTGGTTCAGTACCAACTTGTGCCCTTCAGGGTGCCCAGAGTGGGAGGGAAAGGAGCCTGCAGCCAGGAATGGCTTGTGAAAGGGCACAAACTCATGCACTTACCTTTGGTTTTGGGCTTGCAGCCACTTCTGGCTGACTCCAGGGCTTCACAGGAGTGATTGCTTGTGGAGGGATGGCAGGTTCAAGCCTCTGCAAGTCCAGTATTTATAATATTTAGCATTGCTCGTTCTACAGGATCATAAAACTGGATATGAAACTACCATGTCATTTAAAGACTTCCTAAATTTTTCCAGCTCCAATTCTGGCCCAGCTGCTTGGGATACAGGAAGGAGTTTGGCATCTCAGGGAGATGAGCATCATTTGGTCCTTCAGGAGTGGCCAAAACTGGGGAAATCTTTTGCATTACAGCACAAGCAGCAAAGCCCCAGTTTGGCAGTAATTCCATCCCTGCAGGTATTTCTCTCTGAGCCCCAACAGCATCCAAAGCTCCATCCAAGACCAGAGTGAAGCCAAACCACAGCTCAGATTGCTTCATGGCAAAACTGGGTCACGCAGAGCTGTCATAATTTAATCATAAGAATTCTATCAGGTCAACAAAGATCCCAATTAGAAGAAACCTAGATCACAATTCCCTCTGTCCAGCCAGTCTTTACATTGGCCTAAATAAGATCTCTCTGCAAGCTGTGCATGGTACAAAGTGCCTGTTCTGGTGGCTGGTAAAACAGGCAGAGACTTGCTCTACAGGCTGCTCTGAGCATGGATTTTTATCTTAAGGAGCAAAGATGCCTCCTTAAATGATGCCAAGCTCTGAGGTGTTGCTGGGTCATTCCATGGCTTGGATTCCATAGAATCTCCAGGTTGGAGAAGACTCCTCAGACCATCAAGCCCAACCATTATCCCAGCACTGCCAGGTCCAGCACTAAATCATGGCCCTAAGTGCCACATCTACACAATTTTTGAACACTTCCAGGGGTGGTGATTTTGCCTAGAGTTCCCTCCTAGGAGGGGAGCTCAGGACAGCTTCCATAAAAATTAAAGAGGACTTACAACATCGTACAGGACTTTGTAACACCCGACTTTTACTTTATTTGGGACATCATTAACTCCTTGATTATGAACAAGTGCCCAAAAAATGGGGACATGTTGGAGCCCTGGTTACTGAGAATTTTAGACTTTCTGTGCTGACAGGCACTGGCCCCCAAAAGAACACTGCATTTGACCTGAGGCTGTGGAGAACACTTCCAAAATTAAATAATAGAACTAAGATTATAAATTAATAGTTTAAATAAGAGTATAATATCAGATAGTAGAAAACTTAAAGTTTCGAAATATAAGAATGTATATAAAACAAGATAAAATTTTTAAAACAGAAACTAGTCCTTCTTCTTCACCTTCTTCTTCATAAGTTTAAGTAATAAGTAATTAAATTTAAAAGTCCACATTACAAGCCACAAATAATTGGTTACTAGGTTAAGAATAAAATAATTTAAGTGTAATTTTTAATTAAACAATTTATCCTTAAAAACCTTATAAAAAAGGGAACAACTCCATTTTTAAAATTTTATTAAAATAAAATACCATAAACCTCACAATTTATAAAACTACAATATAAATAAAAACTAATAAACACCTAAATCTAAACAAAAAAATACCATCTGACACATTTAATCCCAACCCCAACAAAAAAGACTCAACAGGGACATGTCTCTGACTGTCTGCACTGAGCAGCTGCTGAATCCTGAGTTGTCATTTTGGATCTGTATGAAAATGCAGGAGGGAAAATCAACGTCATGTAAAGGGAGAATTCCCCACTGGTCCCGAGCACCAAGTGCACGTCTCTTAGCATCAAAAAAAATCCCCACAAAGCTAAATATGGAACTGGAAAATGGCACTAGATGGCAGCATGTGCCACCACAAGCTGTGGTCCAGGCTGGCATCACTCCAGGAAGGCACCGAGGACACCAGCCCGGGGTGGATGGAGGCAGAAAACCTCCCACAGCCCTCAGCTCACTGCCTGCCCTGCTGGGAAAGCCAAATTCGGGATTTTGGGTAAAGCTCTGTCTGTCCCAGGCTGGAAAATTGACTTTTCCCTTTAGTTTTTGTGAACATCACAGGTTTTTGTCTGGAAATACTCCCCGATCAAGATCCTCAAAGTCCTTGAGAAGGCCACATCATCCCTCTCCGCTGCCTTTGAGAGTGTTCCCACAGGGAAAAGGCTTTTGCTGGAGCTGTGAACACTCTCTAAGAGCAACAGGGTTAACAGAGCCTTTGTGAGTGTTAACCAGGAGTGTCTCAATAACACACGAGTGCAGCAGTCATGGAAATAAAATCTGTAATTAAAAACTCCGTGCTGGTCAGAGGTTTCTGAAGGAAACTCTGATTCCATATGACAGATGTCAGGGTGCAGGTGGGCTCAGTTCAGATGTCACTCCTGCATCATGCCACCAAACCCAGGGACAAGTTATTCCATAGCTGGTGGTCACCTCTGAGCTCTGAAGCCACCAGTGTCACCCAGAGCCACAGCCCTGAGGGGAGTGGGCTTAAGTGACTCCATTTGATGGCTCTTCCATTCCTTATTATATTTAAAAGATCATACAGCAAGGAGGTCTCTTGCTCCAGTGGGTTTCCTGTTCACAGAATCATGGAAACCTGAAGTTTTTGGGTTGGGAAGGACTTTAAGGACTCCCTGTCATGAGCAGGGACACCTTTCACTAGACCAGGTTGCTCCAAGCAGATTCAGGTTGGATATTGGGAAGAAATACCCGTGAATGAACACTGGATTCGAGCTGTGGCCTCATCAGTGCCAAGTACAAGGGGGAGAAATAAAATTTTGAAGATATTTCTGAGCTTTAGTTATTTAAGGGTAGCCCTTGTGTGGGGACAAATCTTGGCTGTAAGGTCAGGTAGAGTCATGGGGTTTGGGTTTTGGGGAGGAATAGGTCTGGGAAGTGCAGGATGGGGAAATTGAGTTTGGGCAGGTAGAGGGCATGAACAGCAATTCCTGAAATGCAGAAGGGTTGCTGTGTCCTTCACCATCCCCTCGTGTACAGCAGGTCTGTCTGTCTGCTTCACCATCTCTGCCCCGAAGTCTCTGCCTTTCCCCAAAGAGCCAAAGCCAGCCCCACACGATGCAAGCTGGATCCTTTCTGCAAAGGGCTCTGTCCTAGCCACACTGTCCCCATGGCAGCACCAGGATTTGGCTGCAGGTACCCCCAAGGACAGTGGGACATCCCAGCAGAGGTGGCCCTGTGTCCCTGCTGGGTGACCCCAGAGCACGCGAGCTCGTGATCGCCCAAAAGTAGGACTTCCCCCTTGTGCTGCTGTAGGGGATTTGCTGCCCCCACCGTGGTGCTGTGACACATGGCACTGTCCCCAAAAAGTCCACAGGGAGGGGTCAGTCAGAGCAGCCCCCAGGGAGCTTCCAAACTCTCCTTACCTGAGGTCTTCGAGGCGGGTGCTGCTTGATGATGCTGGTCCCATCCTTTCCTGGCAAGGTGTTCCACGAGAGGGGCCCTTAAAGGTTAAAGAAGTGGATCAAGTTACTTTTGGGTGCACTCAGCAATAGTTTTATGCCCTGTTTTTTAGTTGGCTTCAGTGTCTCACTGAAATCCCTGGCTGTGTATTCCTGTAACGCATGGAATATTCCATTGGCTGCAGGAGTAAATTGGGTGTGCCTGTGATTTCTAACAAATACCTCTCCAAGCTTCCCTCTGCAACCACTCCTCATGCTTCTAAATATGACCATCACCATCCTTGTGCCTCCTGTGGCCTCTCCCAGCCCCTGGGATTTGGATGGGCAGGGGTCTCTTCTCTCCATGCCCTGCAACCATCACGTGGCTAAGAAATCCCTGATCTTTGCTGCCTTCCCTCTGGTAAAGTCAGGCCCAGGCAGCAGTTTGGGTCTTCTCCTGCTGCTCAGCCCCTGAGATTTGATTATTGTTATTTTTTGGCGGGACTGAGTGTGACATTCACATTCTCTGGACAGAGAGACAGAATTCTGTCTCTCAGGAGAAGCACAGAGAGAAGAAGAGAAAACAATCTTTATCTCTGCTCCTTTGCTTTCCCCATGTGGAATGTGGTGTGGAGATTGTTTACCTGCAGTGATGGCTGGGTTGGATTCTGGTGAAGGTTGTTTGGGGTCAGTGACCAGTGGGATCCAGCTGTGGCTCGGGCTCTCAGCACAGAGTGATGAGTTTATTAGTTAGGTAAGTAAGAAGTACGTAGAATAGGCTAGTTTCTCTTTAAATAGTATATTAATGTAATATAGTACAGTGTTAATAAAGCAAATCCTTCAGCCTTCTGATCTGGCGCCAGACATCATCATTTCTTCCCACATCTGGGGTCACCACATTTTACTGTAACTGAGCAATTCCTCTGCTGCTTTACTGACCATGGCAGAGCAGGGCTGCAGCAGCAGCAGGAGTGAAAGGGCTGGGTGCACTCCCTGGAAATCAGCCCAAAAAACGTGTAACACACCAGTGACCCCCTGTTAGTTATTAGGGCAGAGCTTTCTCCGAGGCCTGGACAGGATCTGGGCTCGGGTCTGTTCTGTGCTGGTGCTCTCAGGTGGGCACCACTGCCCCTTTTGTTCTTTTCTTGCACAAATAAACTCTTGCATGTGCAGGAAGTAATTCTTTCACACAACAGTTTATCTGTTTATCCCCCCAAAAGAGTGTCCTGGTGCACTCAAATGACATTTTTTACATGGAGCTCAGTGAGGTGTGGCTGAGCAACTGCTGAGGAGGTAACAGAGGAGGAGAGTCGTGGGTAAAGTGCAGAAAGAGCAGTACAGCTGATGCCAAATTTAATAGTCATATTTAACAAGAAAAGCAGTATTTTGGAGGTTATTTTATGGGGGACTTCCTTGGACCTCATGGCAGATCACCAGGCTGGGCTCTTGGGGAAGAGAGAGAAGACAATCACAGAATCATGGAGTGGTTTGGGTTGGAAGTGATATCGGATAAGTGACCCCCAACGCCTGGGAAGAATGAAGGCTGAACTCAAATGATTTCAGAAGGCTAATTAATTACTTTATTAAACTATATTATACTGTAACTATACTAAACTGACAAGAATTATCACTAACTGGCTAATAGAAAACCTGTGACTCTCTCCTGAGAGTCCCACACACACGTGGATCCAATTGGTCAGCAAATCCAAACACCACCACCAAAATCCAATCAAGCAATCCCCTTGGGTGAATAATCTCCATACCACATTCCACGTGGGCACAAACAGTGAATGAGGTAAGAATTGCTTTGATTCTCTTTTTTCTGCTTCTCTCAGGAGAAATACTGAGGAGGTTAAGTCTCTGTTCAGAGGGTATGTGAATGCCACAAAGTGACCACAAAGATCTTTTTTTTTTCCACCCCCTGCCATGGGCAGGGTCATTTTCCTCTATCCCAGGTTGCTCCAAGCCCCATCCTTGGAACACTTGGACACTTCCAGGGATCCAGGGGCAGCCACAGCTTCTCTGGGCACCCTGTGCCAGGACCTCAGCACCATCACAGGGAGGAATTTCTTCCTCCTGTGAGGCTGCTGGGCTGTGGGAGATGGTGACTCCATCAGGTAAATGTTCTGCAGAGCCCTGGCAATGTTTAACCACTGAGTGAAGCTGTGCCTGCTCCACACACACAGGAATGGGAGACTGAGGGGAAAATTTCCAGCACAGGAGCTCCTCTGGAGACAAACCTGATCTGCAGGGAACACGGGGTGGAATAGCAGCCTTTTAGAGCAAAAGGGGCTTGTGGAGGATCTGCAGGCAAGGGGGTGCACAGGGAATTTCTGAGGGGAAAGGAAAAGGGAAGGAGGTGGCCCGTGGAGATGGGAACAGGGACACGACGCAGGGAAGTGGCTGTGAGTTAGGAGAAGCTTGTCCTGGTGAAGGGTATGGCTTAGAGGAAGCTTTTTCTCCCTTAGGAGGTTTGATGGTTTGTGTTTGGGGCAGTTTTGAATTTTTTTCTCCCATCCTATCCATGCATGGGGCTGGTAGGACATTTGCCCTTACCCTCTGCAGATACAGGACTGGGGGCTGAGGGCTGGCTGTCCCCAAATTACCAAGCCCCAGCTCAAGGCATCCTTGTGGCTCCTGTTCCCCTGTTTTTTCCCCCTTGCACTTCAGCAGCAGCAGATCCTCCCCTCTGGGGAAATCTGGATTTAAAATAAGCCAAGCTGAACCCTCTTAAACCAAATAAAACCTATTCTCTGGGAGGCTTTGCTTATTTAGACAGAAGCTCGAGTTAATACTTCACTCAAGTCCTCCTGAGCATACTCATCTTGCTTCTGAAAATGGAAAGTAATGGAAGATTGCATTTATTAATTTTTTAATAAAATACACTTTTTTTAAAAAAAGCATTTGTTAAGTGCTCAGTGATAATTTTCCAGAACAAGAACATTTGGTTGTTCTTGCTCTCGTGGAGTACTTAAAACCTGCTCTTCTACAGCAAGATCTGTTCTGTATTCTCCTCAAAACCACAGTTCTGGGAATGTCACTGCTGTCATTCCAGAGGTTTATTTGCTTTCACTGCTTCCTGATGCCACCTGATGAATGATCCTGGAGGAAATATCCAGCCTCTGGTGAAGCAGCAGTGCTTCACACCGCTTGCTGTGGGTCAGAAATTGATTTTTGGGAATGGAAAAGCAGGGAAGGGAGTGCTGGGGGTGCAGATCCTCCTCTCTCCGCCTCGCCTTTCCCCACACCCAGCTGGTTTTCATGGATGTTCCTCCCCACATTCCCCTGGGAGCTGTGGGAAGGATTTTTTCAGCATCCAGCTGGTTGTGGAGAGCTGCACCTCCTCCTGCAGCTGGATGCAGAGCTCTGGGAAGGATTTGGGTGAGGATGGAGTTTAGAGGCTGAGTGTGGGGAAGCACACAATCTGCCTTTGATTGCAGAGCTGAGCTTTACCTGCCCGGAATCTGGCTGTGCTCAGGGCAGAGATGTGCCTGGCAGGGGTGGGTGGGCAGAACAGGGCTGTGATGGGGTCACAGGGGGTGCACAAGGGCTTCCCTGGGCACAGGTGGGTGCCAGGGTGATGCTGGGCTGTGCCAGGGTGTTACAGTGAGCTCATGGGCACCCTGTGCCCCCTTCCCCTGGGACCCTGTGACTCTGATCAAGATAACCCCTGGATCCCTCCTTTCTACCCCTACAGGGTTGGTGGAGAGCCAGGAAAGCCCACCCTGTCCAAAACCTATATAGACCCCTGAGATTTCCTGTTCTTCCTCTTTTGCCCCCCTCTCACATGGACACCACAGAATAAAGAGAGCTGTACCAACTTCTCCTGGGGTGAGAGACTATTTTGAATATTTTCCCCCTCTCCTGATATTCCTCCCCTCACAGCCCCTTATCTCTGAGCTAGTTGGATTCTTCGAGGGAACTACACCAGGGGGTGCCTGACAAGAGTGAGATGCTCTCCAAAACAGTGGAAGGGGAAAAATGAGTTTTCCCAAAGATAAAACATCCTAGAAACGGCAAAACTGGCAGAAAGCTGCTGCTGAAGGACAGCACAGCCCTGCACCCACCCCAGGGTGCAGCCAGCACAGCCCCAGCCCAGTGAGCCCAGGTCCCCCCTCACCTGCAGAGGGTCCCTGGTGCCGGGGCTCCCGCAGAGGAGGCAGCTCCAGGTGGAAGATGGGCTCTCCCCAGGGCTGGCCTGGCTCTCTGGGCAGCCCCTGCAGGGCAGCCAGAGCCCCTGGGTGGGCACAGTCCCCCTGCCTGGGCACTGGGGCCACCCTGGTCACCCTGGGCTGTGCCTTGGAGGAGCTCAGGCCCATCCTGCAGAGCCAGGGCTCTGAGAGGAGCAGGAAAACCCCTGGTGCACGTCCTCCCTGGGCACGTCCTCCCTCCTCTGTGACCACCCAGAGCCCAGGCAGCTCCCTGCCAGCTCCCACAGATGTCCTTCCCAGCTTGGTTAAACATTGACCCCTCCCCAGCCATTCCCCTGCAGGGAAAGCAGCTCAGGAGCCAGTGCCAAGCCCTGGAGAAACTTTGTTTTTTACCTAAAAGTGATTTTGAACCAGGGCCACCACCTCAGCTGGCCTGCAGGTATTTCTTCAAGCAGCTCTTTTGCTAAATCTTCAGGTTTTGGAAGGAAATTCCATCCCTGGAGTTCCAGAAGGGTCGAAGTGTCTCCCATCCTGCATGGGAGAAGCAGGTTTAAATAAATGGGAATAAAGCCTGGCCCAGGAGCTGCCCCCACCTTTGCTGCTGCTGACTGGGGGCACTGCTGGAAAAAAATGCAGCTTTAGGACAAAACTAACTGAGAATATTGGTGAAAGTGAGTCATATTTGATAGTTCATAAAAGCAGAGGATCATAGAAGGATTTGGGTTGGAAAGGACCTTAAAGATCTTCTAGTTCCACTCCCCTGCCATGGGCAGGGACAATTCCCACTAGACCAGACTGCCCCCAGAAGAAAATATTCATCCCTGGAAAATCCCAACCAGTTCACATTTTCAGCCACAAAGCACCAACATCTCTCATGACTTTGCTTTTCCCAGGGCACGAGGGAGCAGAGCAGCCTGGCCTGTATTTTTTTTTTTTTCCTTCTTCTTTTCAAATGAAAATGTAAAATCAACATTTTACATGTTGATTCCCTCCCAAGTTTCTCAGTGCTTACTGTCTATTTTTCCTTTTTATTTTAATTACCTTCCCCCTTCCAACAGGTCATTCCTGTTAAGCAGCTTGGGAAAATAATGAATTAAATGCAATGATGGATGTGTGGGAGCAGTGGAAACCCACGTGGATGTTCAAGCCCATGGTGCTTTATGCTTTATCTGGTGTTTTTTACTCAGGTGCTGCCAAAATCCTGACAGGCTCCCCACACTCCCCCATCCATGTTCTTTTCTCAGAGAGTTTTACTCTGTAAAGCCAAGAGGCCCAAGAGCAGCAGCTGAAGGTTTGGGGTGGGACGGATGCTGCAGGAGGATGCCCTTCCTGCAGGTCATTGGGGCAAGCTGAGATCCTGGTCAGGGATGTTCATCCTTCTCTTGAACTGGGGGTTATTGAATGCAATAATGTTATTTTATTTTGCCTGTACATGAAGTTCAGTGAAATTCCCGAGTACTGTGCTGTAGAATCATGGGGCTGGAGGAGCTTTGGTCCCATACAGTGCCATTAGGGACAGCCCACAGCCCTGCCAGGAGAGCTGGAAGAATTTTATCCCCTTCTCCCACTTCATTTACTGCTTTAAATTCTCTCCCAAATTCAGCTGGAACTTGTAAGTGATGATGATCCCGCCAGAATTGGATTTTTCAGCGAGTTTATTGCAGTCAAAATGAAATGATTGACTGCTACGTGCTTGCTTTAAGGAGGATACTGGGAAAAGCTCAAGGGCAGGGCAGTGCCAGGACTTGGGGCAGAATTTGTTACCTTCACACAGGGCAAAGGTGAACCAAGGGGCACCACTCAAACACCCACCTGCAGCAGTGGATCACCTCTGCCTTAAAGCTTCTCCTCAAAAATGAGTTTTAAATCACAAAAATAACCCACGTGAGATGGAAAGTGGGAGGGATGGATTTTTGCCAAAATAATGCCTGGGCTTTTATATAAATCCCCAGTGAGTAAAGCAGAAACAACCCCAGTGATGCAGGCTGCTGTTTATCATGCTCAGGCAGCGACAGCGTGAGCTAATGGATCAGCAGAGAGAGGAAAACATCCCCTGGCTGGGACACAGGCTGCAGTGGCTGATAGAGCTTGTTATTCCACATCTGTGAGGTCAAGAAACACGGCTCCTTCCTCCCTCTGCTCCTTGTCACTGCTTTTGGCAGGCACATTGATCTTATCTCAGCCCAGGCTGATAACACTGCCCCTGCTGCTGGCACTGCTGGCTCTGCTGGGATACTCCAGGAGAATGGAAAAATAGAAGGATCAGCCTTAAAGGATGTTGATAATGATGGTTTGTGTCGTTACCTTTCATGTTTGCATCGTTACCTTTCATGTTTGCCTAAGATTTTACAGCAGAGAAATAACAAATACTTTTGTTTCACATATTAGAGCACGCTCTTCGCTTCCAGGATTCTCTTCCAGGATTCTTAGTGGAAGGAAATACAAGAGCAGAAAAATTAACAATGACCATTCCGAGTGCTTTGCCAAACACTTTTGAACAAGCAAAACTGAGTCATGCATTTTTGCATCAAAAGCCATCCGAGATGCTTGCCCTGACTGCCAGCTTGTCAGGGAGGGATTCCAAAGTGTGACGTGTTCTCTCGATGATCTCTTGATTTGTGGGACAGCACGGAATGCCAAAGGTGTGATGAACACCCCAATCCATTAAAAATGTGGCTACTTTTTTCCCTGTGTAGGCTGGACCATTGCTTTTATTTCTGGAGGCCAACCTAGTGAAGCAAATGCTTGCAAAAAGTGATGACAAACATGTTTGGCTGTTTGTCCTGTGAGCAAGGAGGTAAAAACTGCACCTGAAAAGGTGTCTACTGATACATGGCCATGGAGCAGGGGAAAGCTGACTCAAACAATGGGATTTCACATGATTTTCCCTGTGGAATTCTCAGTGAGGTTCTTTGAAGGATCCATTCCCAGCCTGAAGATGGCCATGAGGCTGCTTGCCAAAAAGTACTCATCAACGCATGCTGAAAAGAAAGTTTTGTGTCCCCCATGTGTTCAGTTTGGCAGGAGCTAAGATTTCAGTAAAACACATCCCCAAAACTATCTAGCAATGTAAATTAAAACATCAGCTCCAAAACTGTGGGGAGATGCCAAGCTGCCATGTGCTGAGTGCTTTCAGCCCATCAGTATCTTTATAATTCACTTTTTTGGAATATTTTTTGTCTATCTCCTCTCAAAAGCAGCAGACCTGGAGCTGTAACAAGCTTGTATGCAAACCTTACACCTCTGGGTTTAGGGCACAGGGGACAATTGCCTGGATTGGTTTTTTGCAGCCCTAATTCTGCAGCCATTTGATGAAAGAGCCAAAGTTTGTGTGTTTTTTTAATATACACAAGTATTTTTTCTGCTCTGTTGACTGCAAGGAAATGTTTCGACATGGACATTAAAAGATTTTAAGAACATCCAAAAAAAAGAGTCAAATAAATTATTATTTACATTATTTTTTTGCCCCTGGCAGAAATACCATCAAAAACGCACCTAAATACTTTCTACTTGGTTTTATTCTTCCTTGGGAAAAAAAAAAAAAAAGTTTGTCTGCCTATCAAGTGCTCTCAAATAAAGACAGTCTGGAGCAGTCAATCCCAGGAATGCTGTAAACCAGCCTAAATTACACAGCAACAGGCCTAGGGAAGGGATTGGGAGGTTGGTTGGTTTGATTTGGCTTTTGAAAGACTTTTCCACAGTAGAGGTCAAGAAAAATACTCATTTGTCCCAACGCTCTAGAAAATAGGAAATGGCACTTCCCAGGGACAGCAATGGCAATCCAGGGTTTTCCATCTCTCCTGAGACTTTTGTAGCTCAGCTGGAAGTGCAGCTTTTCTGGGAGAAAACAATGTAAATAAAGCTATTTCTTGCTTTACTAAAGGCACTCAAATTCCAGCACCACTTCTAGAAAGGTGATTTTGGAAGGAGGCACAGCTCAGTGTGGTCTGGGAGGAGATGCCTCATGTTCTGCACACCATGGAATATTTATTCTGGTAATAATTGAGAATACTGTTGCAAACATCAGAAATTAATTCTCCAAAATTCCAGGAGAGGTTTGAAATGCTTTTCCAAAACTGCTACCTCGCTGAAAGGACACTTCATTGAAAGTAAGTCAAGATGTTAAATTTTGAGATTTAGCTGGAAATATCCAAGATATGTATCCTCCAAAATGGCTCTACCTCTGCCAGCAAAGAGAGATAAACGATGTAACCTCGATCCACATTTTAAACTCACCAGCTCAGAAAGACACAAACTTAAACATTTGTTTATTACAAAAGATTTTATTGCAGTTATTTACACCCGTTCCTTGTTAAGTGTATAAATGTAAACATTTATCATAGATGTACTTCTCTTATCTTACAGTTCATCCCCTGCTCAGGTTAGATGACATTTTTTGAAGCATACAGGTGGTGAGGAAAGTTAAGCTATATTCACAGAATATACATCTGCCTGCAGGGAGAGTCCTCCAGCCCTACGCCAGCGGGATGGACACTGTCCCGTTGGCTCGGCTCCTGCTCCTCGTGTGGACGCTGGATTCCGTGATGTCCTCGGAGTGATCCTCGCTCTTCTTCTCCTTCAGGCTGTTGATGAACCTCAGGGTGATCTCGTCCCACTCCTCAGGCAGCAGCATGAGCAGGAAGCCGATGCAGATGATGATGGTGGCCCCCAGCCGCACCACGCTGAAGATCATTTTGTGCTTCAGCAGGTCCACGGCTGTCAGGAGAGGAAACAACAACAGAATCAGAGCAGCAGCAGGATGGACGATGGCACCAAGAGTGTCAGAGCCCAGCACATCCCTCTGGCTGCCCTGGCTGGCTCAGGACCCTGGCAGGGGGCTCAGACACCTTGGCAAGAAGTCAAAAACACCTGTGGCTTTGATTTTAGTCTGTGGGAAACGCTGCCAACTCTGTGTGAGGAATTACAAGTCACAAGGGTTTGAGCAGTGTGATATTTGAACTAACACAGGGTGGAAAAGTAGAAATTTGGGATTTTTAGAATGGGGTTCAAGGGGGTAAAGGATGGAGGGATTTGGGCGTGTCCTGGCCTTCTTCTCCTTCATCTTGTCCTCCATGTCTTGGTGTGATGGTGGCACTTTTCTATTGGTTTAAGGTAGAGATTCACAGTCTAACACGAGTGATGGGAATTGGGGAAGAAATTGTAAACACAGACACGTAGTTTTGAGTATATAAGGTGGG